ATCCCTATGGTACCCCATTGACTCCCTCTCTTTCTACCCTATTCACTACCATAGTGTCTTACAATGCCATGTGACCGTTGAAACCTAAAGTATTTCATTCTAATAAAGAACTTGGTAATTCTTTACAGTATAGACTCACTCACCAGAGAGTCCCCAACTTCATGTCAAAAAACATATTCAATCTAAGTTGCCGTAACTGAGCGTGCCGTTCGGCACTGCCCGAGGGGAGGGTTGATGGGGGGGACTTGCCCTGCAACACCCCCCCGGGTAACATCATCTTCACCACATATACATGGCAAGATAGAGCTGAAACTCAAGAGCACTAATTTATCAGACTTTGGCTGAGAGCAGCACTTTCCACATAATTTTTGTGGCATTCCAGTTCTTGTCTGCATATTATATCTTTTACTATAGACTGCAACTATTTGTCCTCTGTAGTAATATCATATACAATTTAATGTGTCCATACCATAAAGATTAACCAAGAACTCCTTGAAATCCCTCCCACCACCATAAACTAGATGACCTGTGAGGTCTTGCACATTTATTTGTTTAAATCATTAAACTGTAAACAGACATGTTACAATCCCGTGAATATTCATGATTTTGTAAAGGAATTGTGCTTTGGATGTAGAATGGTGTCTGCATCACTGGGGTCTAACACGGTATGGGCGTCATGTGATTGATGGCCATACTGAAAGGGTTAAAACTTCCTAATGTTACACCATTTTGGGGTAGATTGATAAATAAACTGTGTACACAAAGGAACTAAACAGCCACAATAAGGAGGGGTGATACAAAATGAGGCATTGATGATGTAAAGAGCCTTTCATTAAGATCATAAATAGTGTGCATTTTCCAGACACTGACCTCGGTAGTGAAGGAGAACAGAGAGGAAAAGAAGAGTATGCAGGCATCAAGGAGCAGTAAGTACCTCCACTGATATTCTGATCTAATACTTGGTTACCAAAGAGTCAATTACTGGCTTGATCTTGCCTGTTAACCTCATCGTTGGATTGTCAGAAAAAAGTTATATTTCTGTTACAATTGTTATTACTGTTGTTTTTACTGTTATCATCACTATATATTTCAAATTATTCACAATATTAACCCAATTTCGCCAGGAAAATATTGCATTCACTTTAGTATCGTTTTGTTAAATGTTTCTGCACATAGATGGATCTGCCAATGCTTAGCCAAAAAGGAGTCAATCAGTAGATCTTCTGACCTCTTTGAAATAGCAGGAAAATTCTCTCTCTCTCTCTCTCTCTCTCTCTCTCTCTCTCTCTCTTCTCCCTCTCTCTCTCTTCTCCTCTCTCTCTCTCATCTCCTCTCTCTCTCTCTCTCTCTCTC